GAAATTTTCAATGGGATAATTTATATAGTAGTAAATTTCTTGTGTTTTTATTATTTCTATATAAATACTCGTGTTTAAAATATCGCCTAACTCTAGGTACCGGATAATAATGACTTGTTATCTTATTGGTTATCAAATTCATCTGCTTTACTATTGCTGCTGCAACGTACACTCAAAGCAAGTGGTGCAGCAAGCCTAACTCCACAAAGGCGAAGATCGACATCAGCTTCTCTATTTGGAAGGATGTCTCAAGTAGGGATCTTTGTCACTTTAATTTTTAAGTATCTACACACCCTCAACCTGTGTTTTGTTGTGTTCTTTTTCTTGACTTAATCTCTTAGGGACTTCGAGGTTCTCCACAAAGTGCTGGTCTCTCATTTCTTAATGGTCGGCTGCTTGGTGGTCTTGATGACCTACGACAAGTTGAAGCAAAATATCCAGCTTTGCTTTTCAAACAGCAACTGACAGCCTTCCTTGAGAAGATATGGAATGATAAGGGACAATTTGAAAAAAGAGATATCCCAGTGCTTGCTTTATGTATTCAGGTATTATAGAGCAATTATTCCCAACTTTTTTAGCAGTTACAGCAATAGGAAAGAATAATTGAATTTGCTTCGTTTTGCATTCTAAAAAATTGAGACTTGAGTTTTTTATATGTCAAACTCGAGTTACTTTTTGTCCATTGATTGATCTATTTCTGCATTTTTTTATTCTGTAACTGGTTCTATTGTGGATTTTTTTTATCTAAACTACTACTCCTCACATATTATATTCCTTCTAATTAGCATATTTATTTAGAATTATTTATTTAGAATTAGAAGAAATCGTAGATATGTTTGAAGTTTGTTGTTTAAGGTAAAAATGACATCTTACAGTTCAAATAAATGGGTTTTTTACCCAACTCTGCTGCTTTGGTTGTAGGCATGTTAATGGTGTGTGTTGTTTAATACTTACTCTCTCCTCTTCCTAATGTACTTTTGCTCCCTATTCACATATGTTCCAATGCAGGCACCCAGAACTTCCCGGGCTAGCCTAGTGAAGGGACGTCCTCAAGCAAATGCTGTGGCGCAACAAGCTCTTATTGCTCACTGGCAAAGCATTGTGAAAATTTTGAACAATTATTTGAAGACAATGAGGGCCAATTATGTGAGTGAAGTTCCGAGATGCCTCAACCACAAGTGAATTGATTTCTGTTATGGCATAAATCTCTTTGCTTTCTTGACTCTGCAGGTTCCTTCATTCTTAATTTGCAAAGTGTTTACTCAGACGTTTTCATTCATTAATGTTCAATTGTTTAACAGGTAATTCCACTCAAAAAGTACCAAAACTTTGAGTTTCTACCTTTTTGTTCTTGACTGCTCTGACTTCTTATATCGAACTAGTTTTATCAAAATTTTTTTTGCAGCCTTCTTTTGCGGCGAGAATGTTGTTCGTTCAGCAATGGGGAGTATGTTAAAGCTGGGCTAGCTGAGCTGGAACAATGGTGCCACGATGCAACTGAGGAGGTAGCAACTGTACTCTTACAAATGATCTTAACCTCAATTTTTAACTGATATTCTAATAGAACAAATGTTGAATATCGGTTTTACATTTCAGTTTGCAGGCTCAGCCTGGGATGAGCTGAAGCATATTAGACAAGCTGTTGGCTTCCTGGTTCGTCTTTAATGCTACACTGATACTGTGGTGTTTACATTTGCATTTTTTCTAATCTCTCTTATTGACCTTTTTTCATTTTCATTTTATTTTTTTCAAAATAGGTCATACACCAGAAGCCTAAAAAGACCTTGAAAGAAATAACCGACGATCTTTGCCCGGTGAATTGCATATACACCTTTTGCACCTTCTAAAATCTCCTTTTCTCCCTTTGCTTCTCTGATTGCCCTTTTTCTTTTTTCAAATATCAGGTTCTTAGCATACAGCAGTTGTACAGGATAAGTACAATGTATTGGGATGACAAATATGGTACACACAGTGTATCTTCAGATGTAAGTTAAAACTGATAGTGTGCCCCCCCCCAACAAAAAAAAACACTCCTCTCTTCGTTACCTTTCAACTCTTTGCATTAACATGAAGGTGATACATGTTTTGGCAGTTGATTTCATTTTCCGATCTTCATACCATCATTTCTGGTTATCATAGACTCGCATGGAACCTTGCTTTATCTTATGAATTCCTGGTGGCTCTGATATGAACTTTGACTTACTAAGCTTATATAGCATTAATGAGTTTGATTGCATCATCGATTCCTTGCTTTTGTCTCTGTTTGTATAGATACGTCAACACGTCAAAACATCATCTTTTGCTAGTTACTGCTTCCTTTGTATTAAAGTTTAACCCAGGAATGTCCTCTAACTGCAGGTCATTGCGAGTATGAGAGTTATGATGACCGAGGACTCCAACAATGCTGTCAGCAGTTCATTCTTACTGGATGATGATTCGAGGTACAATTTATCATCACATTCAAAACTTACAAACATTTTCTTTGACATTATCCATTTGGTATAAATTGAACTATATACGCATTTCGCTCTTTTCTCTTGAAGCATACCATTCTCCATGGATGATATCTCCAAGTCGATGCAACAAATAGAGGTGGCTGAAATCGATCCGCCACCTTTGATTCGCGGACACTCTGGTTTCACATTCTTGTTACAACATTCTGAATGAAGGAAGCCATCCCTTTGCTCCCTTCGCTCTACTACTATTACGATATTTGCGCAAGCCTCATGATATATGTGCATACACTGTAACTATGGTTGGCTTTTTTCATACCAAATGCACCATATCCAGCGTCTTTCTTCTATAATAAGTTGGGTGTTTGTGCTGTAGGGTTAAGCTTTACGGTTGGGGTTCTAGGGTTTTATTTTTTAAATTTTTTCAAGTATTGTAATCTTTTATTCTTTGTCATTATTAGTATTTTATTTTTTTATTGTAACTTGGAAGCCAAAAAGAAGAAAAAAAGTGCCACTTTTTATAGGCCAATGAAATTTGTAAGTGTGTTATTTGATGTGAACAAACACATTTTAGTTGTTCTAAAAAAAACACCATTTAAGACTATTTTAGTTATTTTTCTTGGTGCAGATTTGTTTCCAATATTCGAGTAAACAATTTTTTTCAATATTTGTACTATATATTTTAGTTAAAATTTTAAAATTGATTCTTCATTATAATAGATTATTTTCAAATCTATAGATAATTTCAGAAACGGTATTTAGTTGTTAAATTTTCTTATACATGTGCTAATATTTTCTTAATGGGTAGTGATTAAAATAGAAATAAATGTAATGTTAGGTAAAAATTTGTTAAAAGAAATAGTGAAATGATCAAAATAAAATACGGGAATAGATGGGATATCAAATAGGTAGTTTACCGTAGAAATATTATGGTCTAAATCGTAAGATTAAGACATTGAGAAAAAAGTATTAGGTGTTTCTTGTATGAATTATGCATGGGTTCATATTTTATCTTCTGCATATTTTATTTAAATTTATTTCGATGTAGATTTGAATTTATTTTAATTTTCAATTTAATTATGTATTGTAGTTTTTTATTTTAATATAATAACTAAATTAATTAATTATGATTACATTTATAAATATTTCATATCTAAAAAAATAAAAAAGTTTTGTTAAGAAGAAAATAAGGGGTAAACTACACTAGTAATCACTAAACTTTTAATTCATTTTCATTATGGTCATTATAGTTAGTGTTGTTAAGAAATACCGACGTGACACATATTAAAAAAAATCTGATTTTATAAATTAATAACTCTCATAAAGCTCGATTTTTTATGAACAATGCGATTGTCAGGCAATCTCAATGATGAGAATGCTCAATTTAGATAAAAGATTAATATAGTTTAATTTCAAGCTAATCATACGATCGTCACTGACAAATCAAGTAATTTTAGCTTTTAGTTTCAATTGTGATATGAGGAGAATGAAAGATTTTTCAATGAAAGAAAGAAAAAGAAAAAGAAAGGGAAAAAAGAGTAATAGTTTGGTACGTGATCTTATCGATAGAAAAACTATTGAATGACAATATAAATAATTATGAAAGGAGGTGATAATATGATAAAACCTTATGATTCACCATCATAACTGTCAGATCAACTTGAAACTAAACTATGTTAATCTTTTGATCAAACAATTCCATTTCACCATTCAATTGATCGATTACCGTTTGTTCATTAGAAAATAAACCTTTATGGTAGCTAACTATTTGGAAAACTATGATATTTTAGGAAGAAGTCTTTAATGTGTCGTGTTAGCATTTCTTATTGACAACTAATACAATGTTCGTAATGAAAACAAATTTAAATTTTAATGATTGCAATACAAGTTTTACAAGTTCAATGACCAAAGTGAAAGCACTCTAGAAGTTTAGTGACTACCAACATAGTTTACCCTAAAATAAAATATAATTTTTCACATATTTCTATTTTTTACAATTATTTCTTAGAAATATTTAAAAAAATACCTAAGATAAATCTTATTTACAATTTAAGGGCCAAATTAGATATTATCCATTAATTTTAATAAGCCCTTAAAAAATTAAAGATATTTAACGTTGTGATGACCATTTGTAACGAATTCAAAATTTAATGTCCATTTTGAAATTGTTTAAATTTTAATGCCTATTTTGTAACGTTTTTAAGTTTAATGTCCAAACAATAATCGTAAAATAGTTTAATGACCTTAGTTTTGAATTTGACCGAAAACAAAGTAATACTAATAAAATAAAATCTATATAACAACGTATCTTCTTTTTGAAAAACCCTAAACCCTGGAGAGAATAGCTGAAGGAGGTGGCAAAGCAAAGAAGGAACCAACTGAAAGAAACACTTCTTGTTTTGATTTTCCTTTTCCTTTTAATTCTTTTAGTGTTATTTTGCAGGTTTAAACGAGTCGCTTCCGAGTGATATATCTCTTGTTGGATTTAAAAGCTTAGTGTTTTTAATCAATACACCAATCATTTCTGTTTTATTTCAGAAGAGTTAAATGTCTATAGACGGTAATTTTAACATTGAATCCTCACTCGAGTGGTTTCTTGCTCGCTGCCCTAAGGTTGGACGTGTTCAGAGGTTCAAGTCTCTTGCGGAAAAGGTATTTATTTGTTTTTTATTTCACTTTTTTTTTCGTATTTGGTGGTGGGAGATGATGGTTTTATACTGGAAAGACAAGAAAAGAAAGATGAAAACTATTGTGTATTGCAAATTTCTTTTTCCCGTTAAATTTTCATTTTTTTGGTAATTGTTGGCTTTAATATTCTCAAATTATGAGATTTTGTATTGTTCTTTTTGTTATTTTGGATAGTTGGTTTATATTTGGACTCATTTTCTAATTTTAATTTTGTTGGGACCTGGGACAGGGACGCCTGGTGACTGAAGAAGAAGTAGTGAGCTCTGTGGCAGAGTTACTTCTGCATCCTAAATATACGATTCCATTGATTGGGTGTTTTCGTCCAATAGCACAGAGAGTAGTGGACAAAACTGTGACTTTGTTAAGGCTTGTACCGAGTTTGAGATCAAATTTAGCTGTTAGTGTTACTGAATCAGGATATTGACGATGAAGAAGTTATTAATGTCATTGAGTTTCATATTCAACATGGGAGGGGATTGGATCTTCATGAACTTGCTTGCCTAGCCTTCTGCCGTGCCCTTGATTTGGCTCCTTTTTTGTTGGGGTAAATTTATGTTTTGTATTTATTCTCTGCCTTAAGCCTGTTCATAAAATAACTTGAGGCAAGCTGTACTTTGCAACTAAATCTAATCTAGCCGTTTATATTCTACTTGGACAACCCGAGTTTGGTTGTCTTCATTCACGGTTGAAATGGTTTTTGTATGAGATTTCACATGGATATGAATTTACTCTTTACTCTATATACATCATTACAGGATTTATTTGTTGCAATACTTGAAAGTAAGACTTCTCTTATCTCTGAATCAGGTCTGTATTAAATTACTTCAAATTTGCTCCTCCTCCATTTGAGCGCATTTTGACGAAAGAGAATATTCTAGAGCTATCTTCAAAGGTATATTTAACCTTAATTTATTTCTCATAGAGCTAGGCAAAATTTTTATTTCCTTCAACATATATGGCTAAGTTATCATGAATGCAACATTGATGGTTGGATGCTTGACAACTTTGTGTTAATTATAAGGTAAAACCCAAATTGTTAAATTTGGAGATAAAGGTGTGGTCAGGGGTTATGTCTTGATCAATATTTTCCACAGCATTATATTTACATCCATTTTATATGGTGAATCTGCTTTGGGTGGGGTCGTTTTAAAGTTGATTCTACATATTGCTTTATATACTCTAAAAAGTATCTAATGGAGAAATCTTTTTGAAATGAAATCCTACTAAATAATACTCTTTTTTCATGTCCTTGTATCATTCTAGAAGATAAGAAGTTAACGGTTTTGTTCTGCTTCCCATTGACTATGTGCCTTGTCTTCTTTTTTTCCTAATCAGGTTACTACTTATTACTTGCATGTCGTGCAGACATCTTATCGCCTTTTGGTTCTGGAAACCAATGTTTTCTCTAAATTTTGGGATTGGTCATGTTTCTTGGACTTCATAAGGGAGCTTGTAAATCTTGACCAAGACAATGATATCAAGTTTGAGGAGGATATCTCAGACATAAGATGGTTTGGTATACGAATACTATCTGTAATCTTGAATATGAATGACAGAGTTATCGCAAAGTTTGGTGCCGGGGCTGCAGAAGCACATTCTTGTTTTTTGCGGTTTGTTTATCTTTATAATAAGACAAAGTTCAAATAGTTAATAGACAACTGGCATGTTTTGTGTTTTTTTTGGTTGAATCTTGTTTCAACTCCTTTCAGATGGGAAGAATTCTGCCAAGATACAGCTATTGAGAAGGCCGGTGCATATATTGGAACCTTTGAACAAAATAAGCCAGCTTCTGAAGATATTGAACTTTGTTTCAGTAAAGAAAATTACCTTCAATCTTACGGCCTTGGGTCTTTTACATCATCACAGTTTCATGAAACTGAGCCACCTTTAAGAAGTCGGAGGCTGGTAGAGTGGTATGTGACATTGGCCTGAAATCATTGGAGAATTGGGTTAATAGATCGTATATATATTTGTTTTTGCAGTGATATTGAGCACATAGTTGCTTGTGGCTTTAGCATTTTTCTTGCTTCCTTTTGTTATTCAGGGATAATAAAGTAGCTGCAATACCTTTTGTCATGACATCTAGATCAAAGCGAAGTTTTGAGATGGTGCTGTTGGCAGTCAGTCAAAAGTGGCTTGTTCTTCTGTATGGCATGACATAGGGGGATGTTAGAAGAAGGTGGGGAACATTATCTGAAAAGAAGTCTGACTTCTTTGCCCAATACTAATGGGGTGTCAGACAAATTTGAATTTGAATTAAATCCCAGTGGGGATTATGCGCGCCTTGGGATGCGAGAGGTCAGTAAATCAAAATAAGGTTCAGAATATGTTTGAATTAATTGCAGAAGAAAGAAATGTACCATTAGAAGAAGAAATAGAGGGGGGTCAGGAAGATGACCGTATTGTTCTTGGTAGGCTCGTAGAAGGAACACTGATGCAAGCGGAAAACAGTGAAGTCATTGTGAAGTCTTCTAAGCGGTTGAATCGAGGATTTCCTGTTCCTACATGTTTGTCAATTAGAAGTGCCCCTGATGGTAGAAGGGGAAGAGGACGCTATGCTCGAGTTTATAGAAGGTCAAGAGATAGAAGAATATGGTTGTGTTCTGCTATTGAAGATGATGACTTTCGCCCACTGGCTACTCCGAAGCTTAAGCAGAACATTTATGATTTTAGAAGAAGTCAGCAGTTTTCTAGAACTATTATTGGAAGTGGACAGGATAAGGACTTCAATTGTTCTGTCGATTTCCAGAATACATCTATGATCCCTGTCATTAGTAGTGATGTCGTCGAGAGTGTGGAAGCAATTACTGTTGTAACACCCTCAACTCATATCCGACCCGATACGAGTTCAGGATGTCACATTGACTAAACAAAACAATACTTAAAAAAAAACCGATAAAACATTCGAACTTATTTTATTAAATACAATACTATACATATATTAATACAAGTTTATCAAAATACTCAAAGCATACACAACTTAACCCTTTAGTTACATGCCAACATCCATTTACATAACAAAATGACCTACTGATTAAGTTGCTTCTGATATGATAGTTGCAGGAGTAATGTTGTCCAGCTGTTTAACCTCGATCGTCTACTTTATCAGATCCTATGTGTGAAACACTCACACGCTAAGTCATCGACTTAATGAGGCAATATATAATAATAACAATAAAGTATAAAGGAATTTCCAAAATGAGATGGGTTGCAATGATAAGATGTATGTAAACAATGCAATAACCATAACCATGTTTCTTACACATATATTTATCAAATTCACATTCATAAGTTCACCTTATTAAGTTCATTAGCCCACGGTACCATACTGAGAACCTAAGGTATGTGAGTATTGTGAGATTGTGCATTATGCTATCACCATAGCTCGTATAATTGCACCGAAGTGTCACGTAGAATTGCACCGGAGTGCCGCGTAGAATTGCACCGTAGTATATAATATCCATAAGGACCACATATCATTCCTTAAGAATCATATACATATACTAGGGATCAAGTATGTGTCTCACAAGACTTCACACATATTCCAAAGAATATATATATCCCGAAGGATCGCGTAGGCCCTTCACCCTTGGCATGCCAACTATACCTATAGTTCTCATCTATATAACATGGGCTTTCACAATTCACATAATTTGTATCACGTAGACATATTATTTTCATACCTTTATCACATAGACATATCATTTCCATACTTTTATCACATAACTCATATAACTTTTTCTTGCATATTCATGTCACGTAATGCATATGGTATGAATTCATGTCATGTATCATAATATGAAATGCGATCATGTATCAAAATATTGAATCTAGACTTATCACAAGTCTAGAACTGAATAGAATACATATTCATGCTATGCATAGCATTCACCTAGATTTCTTTGTCTTTCCCTCGATCAATCCTACTTGTCGATTGTTCCAGAACTCGTTTAGGCTCGATATCTACATAGTAATTCATTGATACTTATCAGTATACTAATTAGTATATTCTAAACTACCATTTCTTAGGCTAAAAGAAAAGTCATTTTCATCTTTTAATGGAGATATGCATCGATGCATTACACCATGCATCGGTGCACTACACCATGCATCGATGCACTACACCATGCATCGATGCACTACACCATGCATCGATGCATAAATCTTATTCGATGTTTGTATTTAATGGGGTGCATCGATGCACTCCTTATGCATCGATGGCATTCGATGTTTGTATTTTAAAAGAGTGCATCAATGCACTTCATGTGCATCGGTACACCTTAAACAATTTATGGGATTTATCCTTGATGCATCGGTGCACATTGCCCAGAAATGTCTTTTAAGCACTAAAATATCTTCTTAATCTTCTCAACACTTATATATCCCCTCTTTTTATATCCCTAATTTGCATACTCTTACTTAAACTAATTATTATCCATTTCATACCTCTAAAACTTAAAAATCCAATTATCCATATAGAATTTAAGAATCTAATCCAAATTCCAACATGTTCTAATTTGAATTCTAACACCTCATACTTCTTAGTTAGCTTTATGACAAGTCAAATCCCACTTCTAATTCTTATTATGAACTCTAATCCAAGATTTCACTTTTCTACCTCCTTTATTTAATTCTTCATATACTCCTCATCGTATGGTTTTAAGATAATCTAAGCTTTCCTTAAGCTCAGTTATCATCTAAGGATCAATAAGCAACCTTAAATTCATCAAGAATTTGATCAACAAGAAAACTCACCTTTAGCTTGGTCTCTCGATGAAGAAGAAGAGAAATTTGGAAACTTTTGTTCTCTTCATTTGCCTTCCACGTGGATTTAAATATCCTCATCTAATATTTAATTATTTCCCCTATTAAAAGACTCATTTACCGCTTTAGTTCCTCATTCTTTGTTAATTGATCCTACACAAAACATTTCCATTAAATCTTTTAACTATTTAATTTATCTACTTTGGTCACTAAATTTTAGAATTTCACAATTTGATCACTAACCCGGTATAAAGGATGTTACAACTGTGACTGCTTCAGGGAAAGGAAATGAAAATAGAAGAGGAGAGTTAATTTCTGAAGCTCTTGATCTGGTTAATAATTCGACTATTTCATCATCCTCTTTTTCAGAATTGATGAAGGAAGCGTTGGATACATGGGAAGTCTGTGAGATGTTAGGGATTTCATTTAAGGAAGGGAAGGAGGCTTTTATTGAAAAATTATTAAGTCTTGAAAAAGAGTCGGATGTAGTAAGGGGAGGATGATGGCTGGTATGTATATGCTGTGTGTAGGGGGGTATTTTTTTTTATGAATAAATTAAGTATTATTTCGTGGAACATTAGGGGTCTTGGGAGTAGTGAAGTGTGTAGCTGTAGCAAGGCTTGTCAAGAAGATGAAACTAGGTTTTCTATTCATTCAAGAATCCAAGTTGGAACGATGCCATGAATCGATTTTAAAAGGATAGGGGGTAACTTGTTAAAGGGGGTGCAGGTCTCTCCAGCACAGGGTTCATCGGGGTTTGATTTCTTTGTGGAACGAGAATGTGGTTCAAGTCATAGATCAGTATGTTCATAGTAGGTTTTTGGCGTTAGTGGGAAAATTTAAGAATGGTCCGATGGTGTTTGTAGTTATTAATGTTTATGGGCCACCAGTTGAAGCTGAGAAGGAGGATTTTTATGGGGAGCTGCTAAATTATGTTAGTGCTATAAATTTACCAGTTTGTTTAGGGGGAGATTTCAACGCGTATCTTGATCCAGAAGAAAAGATGGGGAAATCACAAAATTGGCATACTATCGATATTTTCAGGTCTTTTGTGCAACATGCCAAACTTATTAACTTGCCTGTGTCAGGAGGTTCATTCACTTGGTGCAGCAATAGAGAATCTTCAACATGGGTGAGACTAGACCGTTTTCTAATTTGTGCAAGATTCCTTAAGAATTTCCCTAACATTGCGCAGTTTCTTTTACCGAAATCTATTTCAGACCATAATCCAGTTTTGCTAGAGGATAAGTCTACAAATTGGGGCCCTAAACTTTTTAGGTTCTTTAACTTTCTTTTAGAAGAACAAGGTTTCGATGACTTAGTTGAAGAATCTCTGGTATAGAAAGGAAGAGCAATAGTGGTGGAATTTTCAGAATACTGCAGGAAGCTAAAAATAAAATCAGGAACTGGTCTGGAAGTGGCCATTTAGGGCTGGCAGAGTCCATTTCGTTGCTGGAAATCAAAATTAACAGTTTGGACTTAAAGTGTCAAGGTGGAAATTTGTCTGCAGGGGAACAGGATCAATTGACTGAATTTAAAAAGGAATTATGGAGACTGCTAAGGATCGAGGAGAGAATTTGGTTTAAAAATTCCAGAAATAGGTGGATTAAAGATGGCGATAGGAATACAAGGTTTTTTCACCTTAGTGCCATGAAAAGGAATAGAATGAACACTATTCATTCTATCAATTTTAAAGGCAAATTAATCTCGGATCCAGAACAGATAAAAGACAGTGTGTTTAATTTTTTCAAGAATGCCTATAATGAAAAAACAACACTGGAAGTTGAGGGCCTGAATTTTGATTTTAAACAGTTGTCTCAAGCTCAAAGTGATTTTCTAGAGGAGGTGTTTACAGAGCAAGAAGTGTGGCAAGCAATTTCATCTTCTGAAAGTGCAAAAGCTCATGGGCCAGATGGTTTCACCATGGGTTTTTACAAGAAGTACTGGAAGTTTTTAAAGGTGAAGATTATGGAGTTTTTTATCGATTTCTACAATGGAAAATAGTGGGGTCATGGGGTTAATCACGCTTTTATTACCTTGATTCCAAAGAAAGGTAATCCTGAGAGTATTAAAGATTATAGACCTATTAGTCTAGTGGGCAGCTTGTATAAGATTATCTCTAAAGTTCTTTCAAAAAGACTTATTTCTTGCGTTAAAGATATTGTTAGCCCTACACAGTTTGCTTTCATTTCGGGGAGGCAATTCTTGGATTGTGCCTGTTTAGCCAATGAAGGCATCGATTACTGGATGAAACAAGGACTGCAGGGGGTTGTTTTTAAAGTGGATTTTAGCAGAGCATATGACACTGTGGATTGACAGATTTTGTTAAGGCTTATGAAGGAGATGGGCTTCGGAGAAAAGTGGTGTTCTTGGATTGATCAGTGTATTTCCACAGCCTTAATATCTGTTTTATTGAATGGGTCTCATACAAAAGAGTTTCATATTGCGAGAGGTTTGCGACAAGGATGTAATCTTTCTCCTCTTTTGTTTAATGTGGTTGTGAACTTCTT